CCCATCATTGTTACTGGTATTTGGCATATTGGGTACACCACGGGGAGTTTGCCAGACTATGCCGTGTGGGCAGGTCACACTTGGTAGCCTGCCAGGTTGTCCTAAGTATGAATGAGATAATAAGATGTCAGAAGCTGGGTTTTATCGTCTCTTGGTCTTGACCCTTGATGGGATTACACAGCGCGGGGGGTGGGGGCAATTGGTGGGTGTGACCCCTGCCTCCTGGAAGATGGAGGATCTGGGTGGAGGATGCTCATCCCCAATCTGAGCAGGCTTGGAGATCTCAGCCCTGGGACTCACATGCCTTTGTTCCTCTGCCGGTACCTTCATGTGTGTGGAGAGTGGTCTCAGTGGGCAGAATACTCTCGGTCATTTGCCGGGCTCTCTGAGAGGGCCAGAGGAATAGAACCAGGTCAGCTGCGTGCAAGGCAAATACTCTACCTACTAGAAAAATACAGAATAGACAATAGAAAAATATAAAATAGGAAACAATCAGGACTTTATCTTTAAGGGTGCCTTCTGACAGCCTCTAATATTCACGACCCGCTGAGTTTTGATGTGCTCACCAATGGTGCCAATGGTGGCTCACCTGTGGGAGACGGTTGGAGTAGGCAGACGGTTGTACTGAACACTGGCCGGCTTGTGAGACCTCTGGTGGCTACCCAGGTCACCCAAAACTCGACAGTCCGTGTGTGTTTGTCTCTTCATGTGTTTGCTTGTCTCATTCTCTGAGACTGACCCCTGCTGGACAAGGGTGGAAGGTGCCCATCCGACTAGCTTTTGACTAGGGGTGTCGTGGTTGTGATCCAGAGACAGAAAGAAAGCTTCACAAAGATCAGATCCACAAGGCTTCAGAAAAGGGTGTAGTTCATAGAAAGATTAGCAGCTCATAGGATTCGTCTCGCGGTGAGAAAGCAGAAGTGTACTCCAGGATCCATAGCCATGGGAGAATTAAAGAAAGGAGTAGCAAGAAATGGAAACTCAATTATCCAGCCCTTGACCTTGCTATTGGTGGTGACACCTAGACCAGGCTTATTAGAGCAGCAGCCCCCTTTGTCCACAGGTTTAGTGGCTCTGATTTACAGATCTGGGAAAAAATAGGTTTAGACATATCCAAATGGAATAAGCTCCCCCTGAAATGATAAAATTGTGGTCCATAGTAATAAAACTTTGTGGCCAATAGGCCAGTATGGTTTGAGTCTGGGCAGCACATGAGGACAGTGAGAGACATCATGCAAATGACTGGGCTTTCAGGCTCACCATCCAACTGAAAGTCCAGAGAGAGAGAGAGAGAGGGAGAGAGAGAGAGAGAGACAGGGAGAGATAGAGACAGAAAGACAAAGAGACAGAGAGATGCAAAGTACCTGCTATAGAGGGAGGTAAGCAGGCACTCAGCTCCTTTGTTCCAAATTGTTAAATTGTCTTTTAGGTTCCCCATCTGCCCGCTGGGGGGGGGGGGGGGGGAGGGAGTGTTCTACCTAGGTAAGAGTCTCTTGCTAGGGTGGTTGCAAAGGGGAAGAGTTGGGAGCAGTTGATAGTCTTTGATATTCCTTTCCTGTCTGAAACTTCTCTTAGAGCTTGATCCAACCTTCTCTGGATCAGTTCTGGCCCGTTAAAGGTCTAAAGCATGCCTTAGTTCCTATCTGCAATGAGGGTTCTGGCAGCCCGAGGGCTAGTGACTTTAGGCAAAGATGTTCACTCTCTCCATTTCTATTCAATACAGTTTTAGAAGTTCTGGCTACAGCAACTATCAACAAAACCAAATAAAAATAATCCAAATTGGAAAAGAAGAACTCAAATTATTCTAGGGAACTTGGGTTGTTTCCAGATTTTGGCTATTGTGAACAGTCTACAATGATACTGGTGGTGGAAAATGTGTACTGGTGGAGGGATGGGTGTTTGATTATTGTATGATTGTAACCCAAACATGAAAGCTTGTAACTATCTCTTGGTGATTCAATAAAATTATTTAAAAAAATAAAATTAAAACAAACAAACAAACAAATAAATAACTCAAATAAAAAAAAAAAGAACTCATTGCACGGCAGCAGGGGGATGAGTTGGGTGGGGTGGTGTTCCTTTCCCTATCAGCCTGTTTGCTTCAATAGGATCAGAAGTAAAAAGAATTTCATATGTATCTTCATGTAAAAATTCTTCATACTTTGAGTCTTGGAAAATGGGTTAATTTTTCTCAGGTTTTTTGTTTGAGCACCAAGCATATTAAAAAGATAATATCCTAGACCTAATAATTCTCAGATCCAAGAAATAACAAGGCTAGCTAGCATTATCAAAAATGTGAATTGCTTTCTTTTGTTCTATCCAATGGGAGAGCAAATTGAGCCTTCACAGTTCACGGTTCACGGTCCTCCCATTGTTCATCGATTTGCTTGAGTGGACCCAGTAACGTCTCTATCAGAGACTTGTTATTACTGTGTTTGGCATATTGAATACATCACGGGTAGCTTGCCAGGCTTTGCCGTGAGGGCGAGATACTCTCGGTAGCTTGCCAGGCTCTCCGAGAGGGGCAGAGGAATTAAACTCAGGTCGGCCATGTTGGCTGCGTGCAAGGCAAATGCCCTACCCGCTGTGCTATCGCTCCAGCCCAAATTGAGCCTTATGGACAACAAAAATAAACGTTTGATTTATTGTATTAGTACGTTAGGATATCCTGAAACTGAATATAGGTGTCGAGTAAAATAGGAGCTTTAATTCTAAATTTATTGTAGAAAGTGTTAATGCAACCAGATTATAGTCTAAAACTACAGAGAATGAGAAAATAGCAGAACCTTCTCACTGGCCTAAGCCAATCTCAATTAGAAATTATGCTCTTTTACAAAAAGCAGAGGTGTAAAATATTAAAGAAGGTTTTCGTGTGTTTTACGTATGTGTAATTTTTGAAATATTCTCTTATACTGGTGTCTAAAAATTTAGTAGTAACCAAAGACTTCACTGTGTGTTTAAATGTATGTTTTGCTGATATCTCAATTTAGACTTCTCTGTGGCCCTGTTTTAATGAATTTGTGTATGATTGCATTCCCTTGTAATCTGCCAATATGCTGGAGTGAAGTAGAATTCTTATGCATGCTTTTCTGCCCGAACTTTTCCATAATTGATTAACAGTTTTGATGTTTTATTACATCATCAAATGATTAGTTATCAACAAGAAATGAAAGAGTGAAGCACTCCTTGGATTTGGTAGAATGACCTCAATTTCATAAACCTGGAACGTTGGAATATCATTAAAAGCTGGATTCCCACATAAACAAGAACGCTGATTTTTTTTATTGCAGTATTAAGGTCTTGTGCCAGACCCTGAGTTGGCACCCCTGGCCCCCAGCCAGATGAGACAGATCCAGCAAAGTGACATATTCAGTCGCTAGAAAACTCCTCAGAAAGGCAGTCCACCCACAACACTAAGACTCCTCGGTTAGAAAATAAAAGGGCAGGGGCAATGCCACTCCCACAGAAACTGTCCCAGTGAAACCCGGTGAGCACCATTCATAGTGCTACATGGATAAACCTAAAGGTGATTTAAAAAGTCACACCTAGAAAAATACATATAGCATGGTCACTGTCACTGTCACTGTCCTCTCATTATTCATCGATTTGCTCCAGCGGGTCCAGTAACATCTCCATCGTGAGACTTGTTACTCTATTTCGCATATTGAATAAGCTTGCCGGGCTCTCCAAGAGGGGCAGAGGAATCGAACCCAGGTTGGCCAGGCCGGCTGCACGCAAGGCAAACGCCCTACTGCTGTGCTATGGATTTTACTTATATAGTTTTCAAAGAGTATACAAAGCCAAAATATTGTGTGGAATATAGCCATATGTGGTGAAATTGGAAATAATAGGAAATATTAAAAAAATTTAAAACGTGAGCACCTCTGAAGCACATGGGAAACCCAAACATCTCTCTTCTTAATCAAGTTCCTTTTTCTCTTCTTTTGCTTTTTGTTTTATTTTGGGGTCACACTTAGGGGTTACTCCTGGCTCTGCACTCAGGAATTATTCCTGGAGGTGCTTGGGGACTGAACCTGGGTTGACTGCATACAAAGCAAGCACATTACACACTGTTTTATCTCTGTAGACCTTTAATCTAGTTCTTGGGAGTGAGTTTCAAATGTTTTAATTTTTTATTTTAAAATCATTTTTCATTATACATATGTTACATATATCCTTGTATCACTGTATCACTATTATCTCGTTGTTCATCAATTTGCTTGAGCAGTCGACAGTAACTCTTTATTCATCTCAGTCCTGAGATTTTAGCAACCTCTCCTTACTCGTCCTTCTCAACAATGTCATATTGGAGGCTCTTTCAGGGTCATGGGAATGAGGCCCATTATTTTTACTGGTTTTGGCATATCAAATACACCACAGGTAGTTTGCCAGGCTCTACTGTGCAGGCAGGATAACTCTCCATAGCTTGCCGGGCTCTCCAAGAGAAAACACTGCCCTGTATAAATGTATACATATCAATGCATACATGAAATGTTTCCTTACATTCTATATTATGCATGGAATTATACTTTAGCAAAAATTATGAAAAATAAAAATATTAAAAATAAAATTTTAAGTATTTATGCTGTGGTATGGGAAATCTACATTGGTCTTCAGTAAGCTCAGACTGAATTTACACAAGTAGTCTCCTGACAATACCTCCAGCGTGGGGCATCGGAGGCAGTGTCCTGCGCATTTTCTCACAAACTTTCTAACATGTTGATGTTTTCAGAGCATGCCACAACAAAAGCGTGGCTGGAGTGCCAGATTAAACGTGATTCCTTACTCACATATGAGCTTTAATGTATCAGGCTGCTTCCCTTTGTTCTAACACACTTCTACTGCAGCAGTGCTGTCAATGATTACAGAATCAAGTCACCCATCTTTTATTTTGGTCCATGGGAAGGGAATAAAATGTCTGCCTAGATATGAGTGGACTTAATTTTTCAGTTTCTCAATACATCTATCCTGCTACTGTCCCAACTTCACACATGCTGAAGCTGCTTCTCAGGCGACTTCTCTCAGTGTCCCCGCTGCTGCCTGCACTGTAAAGGCTGCGATAGAAATCTGTCTCTTCACTTCTCTCCAGGCCTTGGAAGGCTCTACTGAGCTTTTGATATCAAACAGAGCATCATAAATTCCTGGGAATGACTCCCCTGCATACTTGTTGTGGCTGCTTGGAGCATAGATGACATGCCTGTTGACAAAAATAATTTTCTGTTGATTAGTTGCTCATGTAACATGTAGAGTGAAAAATACAAGTTTTTTTTTTCTAAACACAAAAACAAAAACACAACCCTCCACAATTCTAGGATTGCACGTAAATACTTAAAAAAATGTATAAAACACTTGATAAATAAACTTTTACACTCAATTATTTTAATATTGGTCTATATAATACATATAAACTAATATTTTTACTTTATACAGATGAGAAATTGACTTGGAGCAACAAAAACAAGAAAAAACATCTTATTCCTTACTGTGAGTTATGCTTGTTACTATAAAATTTGCCTCTATGTTTTTATAATCCTTAAAAGTAACCATATAGGACAAGAAGGTAGCCAAGAGGGCCAGGGCGCATGCTTTCTATGTAGGGGGCCTGGATTAGGTAACCAGCATGGTGTGTCCTCAGGGAAGCCCCCAAGCACCACCAGGAGCGACGAGCACTGAGCTGGGAGGTGCCTGGGACACCACTGGGTGTTGCCCAGAATTTTAAAAAAATCATAATTATTAAAAGTTTGAGTCTGGCGCCTTAGACCACTCGGCCATCCTGATTAAAAGTTAGGGTGAAAACCCTGCATTTTAATAAATATGTATTTTATATAAACATTTGTTATATATTATGTGTATACATAAGACATATGATACATATCTAAAATGAGAGAGGATCTAAAATTATGTATATCAAAACATACCATGAATTTTTATTTGACAGAACTGTGAAGATTTTACATTTTACTTGTGACTTTTTGAATTCTCTAAATTTTCTCTAATAAATGTATTACCAGAAACAATACAATACTAAAAAGGCTATCTGGCAATCACATTACAAGGAAAAAGTAATATAAATTTACTATATATTTTTTGAAATTTTCTATTTGCTTGCCAGAAACCGACTATATTTTCCAACAGTAATTAAAATAAAGAAAAAAGGCATTAAAATAAAGAGTTATCTTTCCCTTACCTATAAAAAGGTCTATTTGGTAATCCTAAAGGATCAATAAATGCTCGTTCAAGAAACATCAGCTGATCATTCATAATTCTCAACAATATTGGACTAAATAAAATAAATAAATACTGTTTTAACTTCATGAAAATCATGTATATCCCAATGATCTAAAAATTCATAAGAAAAGTGGAGTTAGTATAATTCAAAATTTTAAGTCTATGAAATACTATGGTGTGTTTATAAGCCCACAGAAACCTTTACAATGCAATCCCTATCAAAATTCCAATGACATTCTTCAAGAACATAAAAAAATGTTTTTAAAAATTTGTACGAAACTTCCTGAATAGCCAAAGCAATTCTGAGAGAAAAGAAGATGGGAGATATTTCATTCCTGATTTAAGTTACACTATAAGCTAGCTGTATGGAAAGTTGATTAATGATAAAAAGAATTAGTTGAATTTAGTGAAAGGAGAAAAATCTCTTCAACAAATGATGTTGGAAAAATTTGAGAACTACAGATATGAAAATAAAATTGGACTCCTATTTCACACTGTACGCAGTATTTTATTTTCTTTACCGTAGTTCTCAAATTTTTCCAACATCATTTGTTGAAGAGGTTTTTCAAAACAGATTTTAAATCTTGACATTAGTAAAATGCATAAAATTTCGATATTCATTAAAAGATATTGAGAAAACCTTTGATAGAATGCCCCATATTGCCCTCAGAGATGTCTTCAATGTTAGTAGCAATGAAAACAGAAACAAGAACAAACAAATGTGGCAACACTGAATTGTGGGTAGAAGAACTGAACAGAAACTTTTTCAAAGAAGGCATACAAATGGCCATGAGGCATATGAAAAGTGTTCCTTATCAATGATTTTTTCAGGGAAATGAAAATCAAAATGACCATGAGCTGTCATCATACATAAGCAAGGAGTCTATGTGAAAAAGTCACAAAACATTAAGTACTAGAGAAAATGAGTTCCTTTTTTACCACATAAAAAGGAAAAAAAGGAACTCTCACAATTACTGAGACTGTTGCTTGATTCAGCCTCTTTGGAAAATGATTTGGAGACGTCTCAAAAGATTAAAACAGTTTCCAGATGACTATGCAATTCTACTACTGGTAACTACTCTAAGAATACAAAAATAGCCAACAGGACATATGCAAACAACTTTCATCACAGGATTATTTGGCCAAGATTTGGACACAATCCAAAAACCTAACAACAAATGAGTAGATAAGGAAATTGTGGTATTGAAACACACAACGGAATACTTCTCAACTATAGGGAAAACCAAAACCCTATATTTTTCTACTATGTGGATGGAACTATGCAGATGGAGTGTAGGGTGTATACCTTACATGCTGCCGACCCGAGTTTGATTCCTACATCCCTCTCGGAGAGCCCACAAACTACTAAGAGTATTCCGCCCACATGGCAGAGCCTGGCAAGCTCCCTGTGGTGTATTCAATATGCCAAAGACAGTACCAACAAATCTCACAATGGAGACGTTACTGGTGCCCGCTTGAGCAAATAGATGAACAAGGGAGGACAGTGCTACAGTGAAGACAGTGGATGGAACTAGGTGTCATGTTAAGTGAAGTACATCAGAGAGAAGACGAAATACCTGATATTTTTACTTATATTTGGTTAAAAAGAAGTAACAAAGAAAGGTAGAAAACAAAGATGAATGATCTACCCTTTGATTCTGACAATAGAATTGAGGTTACCAAGTCAGCAGGAGGGAGTGGGGAAGTAGTGGTAGATTAGAAGTGACAGGACAATGTGTGTATGTGTATGTGTGTGTGTGTGTGTGTGTGTGAGTGCACGTGTTTTTTTCAATATCTTTGTGCTCAAAGCAAAAAAATCAACACTGTTGTAAATCATGTTACCTCAACAATAGCAACACTATTACTAATAATAAAATGATAAAAATTTTAATTGCTAGTAAAGAATTCTTACATGCTGTTGTCATGTTTGCATAAAACGTGAAGTAAAATTCTAAAGTCATGTTTTTATCACTTGTTAAGAGACCTGTAAAATATTATTAAACATAGAAATGTTTTTCTTATGAAGTTTCATATTCCTAATTATAAAACCATATATTTAATAATCTATTATGGGCAGCCTAAGCATACACTTTGATTAAATTTTTTAAAAAATACTGAAGGGCTAATAATAATGTGTTTCATATATAGGAGGCATGCACTTAAAAAATTCTACTTTATAAAAATCTTCTTAATATTCTCACAGTACTTTTCTTCCATCTTAAAATGGTGTCAAATTATGCTTTGACTTTGTGATTTACATATAATTAACATTAACTGCTTTTGAGCATTTGAAAAAACAGTGGTCCTACAATATTTTACATTTTGAATAAATATAACTATCTGGTGGAAATAAGAACAATGAGCTCTTCGGAAGAAATGACACTAATAAGAGGGAGAAGAATGAGTTTGTTCTGGGAGTAGCAGATTTTATTGAACTATTATCTTTAGATAATAAAAGGACAAACAGAAAGCTGAAAAAAACTGGGCCCAATCATAGAGAATAATTATTCATTCTAAAATGGGAATTCTGTTATTAATCAATATGAATAGAAAGCATTAAAAACTTTTCAAAAATATTTCAACAACAAAAATGCCAATATCTTTTTAACTATAAATATCTACTATTGAAGAAATTTTGTAAGTAGAACCTACTTATTTTTGTCCAAATCATGAAGTCTCTCATTAAACTTAGAAGCAATTTCTGTAAAATTTTTCACTGCAGAATAAAGTGAATCTGAAAAAAAGTCAATTTAATGTATTATTCTATAATTTAAACAAAATAAACAATATAGGCAGCTGTATCATCTCTTATTTAACAAGGCATTTATAGTTTTACATTATAAGTGAATCAGTGAAATTAAAAGTATATTTATTAACGCAAAGAGAAAATTTGATCAAGGGCAAAAGATCAATGAACCTAAAGTAGGTTACTACATTTACAGATTATTAGAAATACAGATAATGTTGAAAGATGAAATATAGCATACCAAATGATACTCTGTATTTTTGCATTTCTTGTTCATGTTTCATGGAAATGTTGTAGATTTTGTCAGCATACTTTTTTAAAACTACAGCATAATCTTGACAGTCAAAAGGGAGAACCACGGAACTGGCTACTTCAAATACCATCCCTCCTCGAATCTGGGCCACAGCAAGGTGATTCTTAAAAGTTGGATCATAAAATTTTTCCACAAGCTCATATGTGTCATAGACACTGTGATACAATGGATAGCTGCTGAATTTGCTTGTTGCCTGCAAAACAAACATCCCTTATAATACAGCTTAAGATAAAATGCGTAGAGCTACACATAAGAATCTTAAGATTTCTTTGGTCGGTACTGAAGGAAAACACTTAAGTGCTACAATAAGCTACTTAGAAAAACAAATTCTATAATATTAATATATTAAAACACAATACAGAACTGTGGATGTAGCTCAAGTGGCAGAGCTTTATAATTACTCTTAAAGAACTCAAAAGTATAGACTTACCCAATTTTTAGTGTATCTTGCTCTGCCTGAAGCAATTCCAAGTCTTTGGAAGAACACCTCAAAATCATTACCAGATCCTAACTTGCCAATCCTTCCAGAGATAAAAGTATAATTATTTCAAAGTACATATGATTATTTCAGAGTAATTTAAGTAGATAAAATTAATTAAAAAAATAAATTTAATTAATTTAATAACATTTTGAAATTATATCTACTTTATTTTAAATGTAATTTTAGATGTTTTATTTTAGTAGGAAAAATTTATGAAAATGATAACAATGCTGATTACCAACACCTACTTTTATAGACTATTTTGGGTTGGAGAGGCCATATGTCACCTCACTTTTAAAGATTCAGAAAGTTGAAAATTATTTTGGTTTTATGACTATTTTATCATATACACTCAAATATATAAAAAGTTAAGATAAAATTTTCAGATGATCATGTAAGTTCCTACTCTTAAGAACTTAGTTTTCTTATTTTGAGGCAAGACTCAGCAGTGTGTAGGATCACTATTGGTTCTACACTCAGGGAGCACGTCTGGGGGCTTGTGGGACCATATGGGTGCCAGAGATTGAGCCCAGGTTGGTCATACCTAACCTGCTGTACTATCTGTATGGCCCCCAAGAATTTAAAATATTTTTGCTTTTAATACCTACTACCTTCAACTATTACAATATTTATTTTTCTTACCTTGCTTGCAAAGATAAAAATTAGTGTGAAAATGGTTCAAAGAGACAGTTGTGCGTGTGGGTTAGATCCCTGACACGGCATGCCTCTTGGGTGACCTAAAGCCGGAATAGCCCCCACACTACCCCCAGATAAAAACCAATAACAAAATTACACATCACATATCTCAATATTTTTAAATTATCTTTTTATTTTTATTATTATCCAGGGAGGGTGAGCCACACCAAGAGGTGCTCAGTCTGGGGGTGGAACTGGGGTTTGTCATAGGCACAGCAAGGGCCTTACCCCCATACTGAAGGCTATATTATTCTAGAGTAACTGAAATATACATTAACTATATAATGTGCAAAAAAGAAATTTATAGAGTTATTAGAAGACAAAAAAAGTCAGGGGGTATTAATTTTTACCATTATATCAATTCAGACCTTTGATCTATATGCCTCATCCATATCACCATTTAAGAGTAATATTACGTGCTTTTAAATGATTTGTGGATTAACATCAAAATACATATTTTCTTTGTGAAACAAAGAATTTCTTATTATAAATGTATGTAGAGTTCCTGTACCTGGGTTTGCCAGTCACCTCGGAGGAGGGGCTCTTCTCATTCCAGCTTTCATAAAGGGATTTGCCCTCAAAGCCTTCGTCAGGACTTTGAAGCTACAGGTAAAAGATAAGAAAGAGAACATTTAAGAATCATGTTTTAAAATCTACATATTCATTAGCCATGGGAGGAATTAATTATGTTAAAAAGGGTTAAAATTTATACACGGTCATTAAAATTTTTGGAAAGTTTCTGACAGTATAAAAATGCTCACATTTTAATGTGTAAAAGCAATTATATTATAAAATTGCATAGAGTGTACAGAAAAGATTAAACAAAATTTTTACCAAGCCACTGTCTTCTGATGGCTGCTCATATTATATTTTCGTGTCTATTCTAAAATAAAGGCCACTATTCTGAAAACAAGTTTGGGGGGTGTTGGGTCATGGCCTGCTCAGGCTCACTCTGGCTCTGTGCTTGGGACACTCCTGGCAGGCTTGGGGACCAGACAGGCTGCGGGGGATGGACCCAAGTCAGCTGCACTCCAGCCCCATGCTTTGAAATTTAATGATATCTAGGTTTTATTTTTAAAACCTATCTGACATATGTACAGCTTATGCTATACTAATAAATTTTTACAATGTTGAAAACCAGGGATTTCAAATTTATTTGGCAATCTTATGGCCTTTCAGAAAAAAAAATCAGTTTAATGCTCCCCTGAAAATCCACCTTCTTTAAGCAACAGAAAGCATGGCTGCTCCCTGCCCCTCCCCCCTGAAACTGTACCTGCAGCTATTACAGCCCCCAACACCATTCCAGAGTACCTGTACTACACACTTTGGGAAACATTGTCAACCAATAATAAATGAAAAAGATGGAAAGATTTACTTAAAAGTGAAATAATAAGATATCTATTTGGAGAAAGCAATTGTGCTTATTTTGGTAACTACCTTTCAATTGATAATTCTATTAAGTGGGCAAGTTATTCTAATTTTTTTTAATCTCTCGTAACAAAAATTGGTTCCAGAACTCTTTTGTTGTATCTAACTCTAGAACCAGTGGATTCATAGGCTTGGAAATTTCAAGAGAAGAAACTTCCAATGTGTCTTGTGCGGTAGTCAGAGCCTCAGATGACCTCACAGAGCTGGAGACAGCACAGCACCTAAGACGCTAGCCTTGCAGGCACCCAGCCAGGTTTGCATCCCTGGCATCTCAGACGGTTCATCTGAGCACTGCCAGCAACAGTCCCTGAATGCAGAACCAGGAGCAAGCCCTGAGCACTGTGCCTCCACAGCCCCCACCAGGAAGAACTTAGATAATTTTAGCTGTCAGGTTAGGGGGCTCAGTGAATTGTGCTCTGTGGCACAAAGTTAGGAAGCAAGTTCATGGCCTCAGGGGGACTCTGCTCCAGAGTGATTTGCTCCTGGGAGTAATACTTAAGAGTTTTTATACATATTCCTTTTCAACCTGTTAGTACTTTAACATGCAGTGTCTTGAATTAATTGAGATCACTATAGAAGAAACCAGTTTAAAAACATATATGTGCATATATATACATATATATGGTAAGAAACTGTACCTCTTATTGTGTACGTACAGCAATGATAAAAAGCAATAATAAAAATGTGAATTAAAGTTTAAAAATAAAAATAATTGTTAAACCAAATGACCACATCCTGGTTCAATTACTCTATACAATGTGTGCTTTGGTAGTTTGTGCTTTTTGAGTTTGGTGTTTTCTCTCTCTCTTTTTTTTTTATAAATGCAGAGGAATTGGATAAGGATGTAATCTATTTACAAAATACTATTCAGCTATGAATAAGATAAAACATCTGAGATGTTTGAAATTCGATGAAATAAAATGAAGATACCTTGAAATAAAATGAAATAAAATGAAGATACCTAAATATACACTCATATGTAATAGACAGATAAGCCAAAGCAGTAAATAATCAACTAATCCAAACATTCAAACATAAGCTTGAGGTCCTGAGGTAGCACTCAATAGCCCGAGTGTATGCTTCAATCTCTGGCACTGCATGGCACCTAGTGCACCTCTGCAAGTATTCTCTGGTCACAGAAAAAAGAATAGCCTCCACTTGGTGTGACCCAAAGAAACAAACAAAGCAATTAAAAAATTAGAAGTGGTAGACCCGATTCTTCCTCAAGTCTACCTTAGTGTGAAAGCAAATGAGGTTGTCTGTATAGTTTATCAGTTGCAATATATTATGGAATAGATATTTGCTGTATGGAAAAAACAAGTTATCATATATAGTTACTTTACCTCTTTTGTCAGATTGTATACCAAACTATACATGAGTGGTGAACACTCAACTCTCAGAGTGTAATTACCTGAAAGATAAGGAGAGGTTGACTTTTATTTTATTATTTAATTCTTTTATTCAAAGACAACTCCTAACTCCTTAGGTGTTCTTCTTAAAATATAAATCTGATAAAAACTATCCATCTCATCACTCAATAAAATCCATAGTTCTGACATACAGGAAACAATTGCTGGTTACCTCAAAAAGAATCTTCATTTCATTCTCCATAAGAATCTTTGAGGGGATAATCTCGCCATTGGCCACCATTCAGATCGCATGTCCTTCTCTCCCGGAAGGAGCATAATATGATGTTCGTTGTAACCATGCCGTCACCAGGCTGTTTCGCTCGGGGTTCCCCAGAGAGGGGAGGGTGAGAGCCCTCCCTTCTCAAGGGACCCAGCCCAAGCAGCCGAAAACCTCCAGAACTCAACTACTGCCACACTCACGGTCGCTCTCCACATGCCTGGGCCGAGCCTCACCCACAAGTGAACCTATTCCTGGACACTTCATAGGACACACCCTACCCATACTCCTAGAGTACCACACCAACTTGATGGGGTTCAAAGTAGGAGACAACCAATCTGAGAGGGAAACATTCTTTTTCTTCTAATATATGTATGAACATATATATATGTATATATGCATATATCACTTGTATCACTTGTCATCCCATTGCTCATCAATTTGCTCAAGCGGTTTCCAGTAATGTCTCCATTCGTTCCTGTTGTGTGCTAGTAGCCCAATGGCATCTGCTCACTTGAGGAACAGGAAGAGTCTCAAACCGTTCATTCAGGGTCTTGACGAAGAAGTCAGACCATCTTGTAGGTGGGTGGCCAGGTGTTCTTTTGGCGTCCATGGAATCCAGTCAATGACAGCTCTAGTCCAGCAGTCGTCTCCAAATTGCATTACATGTCTGGCCCATCTGATTTTTGACACCTTGGCAAACGAGGCAGCATCCCTGATCTTCGATTGTCGACAGAAGTTGGAACTCCGGATTCACTTGAGTGAAGCGTGATACTCCAAGCATAGCTCTTTCGATTCCTCTTTTGGAGACCCAAATCGCATTCTCATCCTGTTTTCATAGGGCCCAGGTCTCTGAGGCTTATGTGTGTGTATAGATATAGATATAGATATAGATATAGATATAGATATAGATATAGATATATAGTCCGGCAAGCTACCGAGAGTATTTTGCCCCCACGGCAAAGCCTGGATTCAATATGCTATACACAGTAACAACAAGTCTCAAAATGGAGACGTTTCTGGGCCCACTCGGGAAAATCGATGAACAATGGGAGGACAGTGTTTGTTTGTATACACACACATATATATGTATGTATATATACATAAACATATATAAACACACACATATATACATATATACATATATGTATGTATATACATACACACAAAAGACTTAACCTTTAACAAGACATTAGTGATCTTTTTTAGAAGGACTTAATGGCCCCTGGGAGATATACAACAATCTTCACATGCTTTCCTCTAAGGATACTTTTTTTGTAGCGTTTTCAGCAGCTTTTCATAACAAAAAATACAAAATATACTATTTCAGTTCTGTTTTGGGGCAGGAATTGGGGTTCAGGATGAAAATATTCAAAATATTGTGGTGGAATTAGTGTTTGAATATTAAATGTACTCAAATATTGTGAACTACTTTATAAAGTTAAAAAAATTTCTTTTTGAGTCACACTTGGCAATGCTATACACTCAGGAATTACCCCTGGCGGTGCTCATGGACCATATGGGATGCTGGGAATTCAACCCGGGTCAGCTGCGTACAAGGCAAAGGCCCTACCCACTGTGATATTGCTCCAGCCACAAACAAAATATTTAAAACAAAAAAATAAAATAAAATAAAAAAGAAGCTTTGAGGTCTACTTATGCTGTGTCCTCATTATGGAATAATGTTCTAATTTTTAAGTGCATCATGTGCTTCCTTTCTCACTTACTCCTATGTCTGTTGTGCATTCTTAAAAATTACCCTAAAAACTATCCTTAAAAGGGCTACCCCCACACCACACATACACACAAATAAGGTGTTTGTTTTGCACATGACTGACCCAGAGTCCATCCCCGGCATCCCAGATGGTCCCCCAACCACCGCCAGGAGTAACTCCTGAGTGCAGAGCCAGGAGTACCCCTGAGCACAGCTTGATGTTACCCAAAACCTCCCCCAAAAGAAATTTCAAATAAGCAAAACAGTGTCCTCAGATATTGTAAGCAAATCTGACTGCAAAACTTTAAGATTCATGTCTGACAAAATCATTTATTGAAGCTTTAAAAATAATAGACATCCCAGGTTAATTTTTCATAGAATTGGAAAATTTGATTCTAAAAATCCACATAGATAAATTAATATGCATAGCCAGGTAATTATTTATTAAAATTTCAATCTATATTGATTGGAGTACCATGATTTACTATACTGTTGATGGTGGTTTTATATGTGCTTAATTCAACAGCACATTTATCACCAGAGTACCAGCCTGCTTTTCTCTCAGGGGGTCCTGTAGGCCCTCTTTTCATCTATACCACACTCCCACAAACTCAGTTCTGTTAGTCAGTTAATTTCTGAAAACAGAAAGTGTGCCGATAAAAGTGTGAGCTGGAACAACTATGTGCAACTATGTGTTCTGGTGGGGGAACACGTGCCTTGTGTGTAAGGCCTCTGGGTCTGATCTCTCACAGCACAAAGATAGAGCAGTGGAAGTGGGTGGGACCAGAGCAGGGCAGGGTTATGTAAAGGCACAGATACAATGATCAAGCAAAGATACTTGCATCACTATACAGTAGACTCAGACACAGAAAAACTTGGGATAAAAGGATGGTTACTGGAAGATAAAGGATAAAAACTGAGAAGTCTGAGAATTAATAGATGGCAGAGAACTGATACACAAACAACTCTATTGAATTAACTGTAGAAGTTTAATTGTTAATAAGATTTATATGCACTAATAGGGAAAAATTAAAGGGGACAATTAAAGAGGCAACTTATAGAACAAGTTAGCTCTAATATGACATCAAAAGCCCAGAGCAGAATGTGAAATATAATGCAGTTGACAGAAGGATGAGGTTGAAGGAGATGAGGTTGACTTGAATCTTGGTACAAGTTTTCACTTGCTGTGTGGTCTTGGGAAGTTAATTCTTTTGAATCTATTTCCTCTTATACACCACATTGAACGTATGAGGCATTTTCCCAAATTTGAATGCATATATTGTAATTAAATTTAAAAAGCATTTTTCTACTCCATTTTAGAAGCATAGGATCCTTAGATCCATGATTTGTTTATTCATTTTACAGTTATTTATGTAAATACCACAAAATAAGTCATTTGGCAAATGTCACTCATCAGAATGCCGATGGCCTGAAGAGGCTGCCAGGTCTAACAGCTGCTCTGTCGGTGAAAGGAGCTCTAGGATAGCTGAAGCATGTCCATAACTAAAGCTGAAGCCTGTCCCTAAATAAAGTTGTTTAATGTCCCTATGTGTGTTTGGTATGCCCAAACCAATAATTACAATGGGTCTCATTCCCATGATCCTGAAGGAGTCACCAATATGGCAACATTGAGAAGGATGAGGAAGGAGAGGCTGATGAAATCTCAAGGCCGAACTAGGCTGCCAAAATGAAGAAAGACAAAAATGATTGTCTGTATTTTCAATGCACATACGCTAGCATCAATGCATCGATCGAGGATATGATGGTACAAGAGTGAAAGATCAAGCACGACATTATTGTTTTGACTGAGACAAGAAGGCATCAATCACATCATGCCGTTTTCAACACTGGAGAAGAACTGTTCCTCGGAACATGCGACAAAAGAGGCATGAGAGGCGTCAGTGTCCTTGTCAACACGAACTTGGCCATGAGCATTGATTCATTCCAATGCCTAACAACCTGAATAGGACAATTACACTTGAATAAATGTGGCTCACTGCCGGCAGTTTCTATCTTTGTTGTCTATGCACCAACATCCAATTATAATGAAGAAGAAATTGAGAAGTTCTACATGGAAATGGAGAAGTTCTATAAAGAAAACCACAACTTCTACAAGATTATTGTGGGTGATTTTAATGCCAAGATAGGACCGAGAAGGTCAGCCGAAGAACTCCACTTCAGGACCCATAGCCTAGAATGGAACAAACAGGGTGATAGACTGTCTGAGTTCATCATGTCGCCCGAGACCATCCATGGTAACTCACAGTTCCAGAAGACCGACTCTAAACGCTGGACATGGGAGTCATCCCTTGGACAGTTCCACAATGAAATTGACCACATCATATTCAATCGACAGTTTTGCCTGACCAATGTCACTGTTGTTCCAAAATTCCAAATGGGATCAGATCACCGTCTCCTTCATGCAAAATTCTACTTCACAGAGTGGGGAGAAGGGGCTGCAAAGTCTAAGAAGAGAACTCCCAGAACAACCACCAACTTGGAGCTCTTTGGCACTATTGCTGCAACATGGGAAGATGCCATCGTTGACAACATTGACAAGGAATACGATCAACGGGTTCAGCACCTCCATGATTGAGCGAGGAACTCCAAGAGAGAGAGAGCCACACAAAAAAATGCCTGTCTTCAAAAACTCTTGAGCTTATTTACCAACGTGGTTTGGCCCATGCCTCAGGCAACCACAAGTGAATGTCTGAGCTCGCAAAGGAGTGCAGAGATGCGATAAAGGAAGACCTCAAGGAGAGAAGAGCAGAAGTGCAGGTAGATGTGGCAGAAGCTAGAAAAAGCATTTGTAATGCCTGCCTGTCCTTTGCCAACTACAAGACCAAGATGACTGCCCTCCAATGCCCTGATGGATCTATCACATCTTCCAGAAGGGCAATGGAGAAGATTATTCATGACTTCTACTCAGATCTCTTGGATAGCCACGTCCACCTGCTCACATACAAAATTCCACAGGATGGTTATGTTGTTCCCGATATTCTCCCTTCTGAAATCCAACATGCCATTTCGTCAGTAAAGAAACGAACAGCACCTGGCCCAGACAAGGTCAGACCTGAACATCTGAAGAACCTGCCATCAACACTCATCAATACACTGGCTTGCTCTTCACATGCTACCTGTCTGAATGCAAGGTTCCGTCCCAATGGAAAACCAGCAGGACTGTACTACTGGACAAAAAGGAAGACATCCATGACATTGGCGACTATCACCCGATCTGCTTACTGTCTGTCATATACAAGCTGTTCACTCTAGTCATCCTGAACAGGATTGGCAGAACACTAGATGAAGGACAACCATGTGAGCAAGCCGAGTTCTGCAAAGGATTCAGCATGATCAACCATATCCACACAAAAATCAAGCTCATTGAGGTTTCTCGGGAGTTCAAGATGCCACTCTGCCTAACATTCATTGATTTAAAGAAGGCCTTTGATTCTGTTGAGATGGAAGCAGTCATTGAAGCCCTAGCCAATCAGGGCATTCATACTCAATACATCAGGATACTCCATCAGCTGCATTATGGATTCACTACCAGTATCTCACCATTCTACAAAGAAGTGATCATCAATGTCAAGAGAGGAGTTCAGCAGGGTGACACGACTTCACCAAAACTCTTCAGTGACACCCTTGGGAATATCATACGACGACTGGAATGGGAAGGAATGGGAGTGAAGATAGATGGTCGGCAACTATACCACCTCCGCTTTGCTGATGACATCATTCTAATAACACCAAACATTAGCCAAGCAGCACAAATGCTGGCCGACTTCAACCATGAGTGTGGAAAGGTCGGACTACAGCTGAATCTCACGAAGACAATGTTTATGAGAAACAGTCTCGTTCCTGACGTTCCATTCACTCTCAACGGAATGACCATCTCCGAATGCAACAGTTATGTGTCCCTAGGTCAAGAAGTCAACATGACGAATGACCTGGCACCTGAGTTGCACAGGAGGAAGAGAGTGGCTTGGAACGCCTTCAAGAGCATCGAAGAAATAGCTAAGATGACGAAGTACCTCCGGCTCCAGACACATCTCTTTGATTCCACTGTTCTTCCTGCATTAACATATGCCTCAGAGACCTGGGCCCTAGGAAAACAGGATGAGAACTCTATTGGGTCTCCCAAATAGGAATCAAAAGAGCTCTGCTTGGAGTATCATGTTTCACTCAATGAGAGAAAGAATTGGAGTTCCAACCTCTGTCGATGGTCAAGAATCAGGGACGCTGTCTCATTTGCCAAGGTGTCAAAAATTAGATGGGCTTGATATGTAATGAAATTCGAAGATGACTGCTGGACTAGAGCCGTAACCCACTGGATTCCAGGGATGTCAAAAGACCGCCTGGCCTCCCACCTACGAGATGGTCAGACTTCTTCATCAAGACTCTGAACGATCGGTTTGAGGCTCTTCATGTTCCTAGAATGAACAGACGCCATTGGGCTACACTAGCACGGGACAGGGACAAATGGAGACATTACTGGTGCCTGCTCGAGCAAATCGATGATTAATGGGAAGTCATGTGATCAAGTGATCAATGTCCATAACTACCGCTGCTCAGTGTCCCTAACTACAGCTTATCAGTGTCCCCAACTACAGCTGCTCAGTGTCCCTAACTACAGCTCCATCATGTTCCTAACTACACCTACTCAGTGTCCTAACTACAGATACAGTGTTCCTAAATGCAGCTGCTCAGTGTCCCTAACTACAGCTGCTCAGTGTCCCTAACTACACCTGTTCATGTCCTAACTACATCTGCAGTATGACCCTAACTACAGCTGCTCAGTGTCTCTAACTACAGATGCTCAGTGTCCTAACTACAGCTGCTCAATGTTCCTAACTACAGCTGCTCAGTGTCCCTAACTACAGCTGAAAATTTTTCTTTCCTGGTAGAGTATAATTTACAACCCATATTGCTGCTTCTAAGCATAATATTTTTGTATTTTATTCACCTTTATTCAAAATATTCACCTTCTATTGAAGAATCTGCATTAATGTAGGCCACACCACGTTCTTGAAGGAGTCTAGAATTATCCTTAAACAAGAAAGAAATACATAAACATATAATTATACTCTCCCCCTGAAAAATGCATATTGACATTAGTATATAAAGCTATATGGATTAGGTTGACTGAAGTTAGCCACAAATTTGATATGTGAGATTGTCAAAGTCGAGTTTCTATATAAAAGACTTACAGTAAAGTTTACTGGTAAAAATGAAACAAAAATATTTTAAGACTAAAATTTAAGATGAAACTAGATTCTTCATATGGCAAATGAGAAAAAGCTAACTTTTCTTTAACACTGTTTTTTAGCACAGCGGGTAGGGTGTTTGTCTTGCAAGTGGCCCGCCCGGGTTTGATTCCTCTGTCCCTCTTGGAGAGTCTGGCAAGCTATCGAGAGTAACCCACCCACATAGCAGAGCCTGGCAAGCTCCCGGTGGCGTATTCGATATGCCAAAAACAGTAACAACAGGTCTCACAATGGAGACATTACTGGTGCCCCCTCAAGCAAATCGATGAACAACGGGAGGACAGTGCTATAGTGCTACAGTTTTTTTGGTAATGTGGTTTTAATAATATTAATATATATGGTTTTGATGTAGTTACCAAAACTACATCATCAGCAAATGCCCAAGATGCTCGATCGCTGTCATTTCTTAATAATATTATAATTCATCCTTCTAGAAATTATCCACTACCTCCACTACCCAGCCATCACCTCATTCCAGGCTGGTTTCCGGATGCTTGAGCTGAGCCTTATGCATGAGTGAAACCCCACAGAACCAGGTAAGCAGAACTTTGTAACCTTTTACTCCAGGATCAAGGGGACTGGAAACAGAGACGTTACTGGTGCCCGCTCGTGCAAATTGATGAGTAATGGGATGTCAAGTGATCAAGTGATCAAGAAAAGCAATTACTTCACCAAACATCAATGACCTCCCAAAAAAAATCTTAGAAGATTTCTTCCACAGATATGTCATTCTTTAAAGAATATTATCTGATTTACTCGAGCGGGCCCAGTAACGTCTCCATTGGAGACTTTGTTGTTACTGTGTCTGGCATGAATACTCCCAGTAGCTTGCAGGAGATGAACTATTCATAACAATTAAAAATAGGTCCAGTTGATCTCACCCAGGTACCTGTTTGGCTGCAGGGCTCCTTCCCAGGGCTGTGCATCTAACAGGATCCCCAGAGAGTGGCCAATTTTCTTTTCTTTTCTTTTTTTACTAATTTTATTGAATCACTGTGAGATAGTTATAAGCGTTCATGTTTGGGTTACAATCACACAATGATCAAACACCCATCCCTCCACCAGTGCACATTCCCCATCATCAATATCCCCGGTATAACCCCCCTTTCCCACCCTTCCCCTGCCTCCATGGCAGAAATGATTCCCCACAATCTCTTTCTACTTTTGGGCATTATGGTTTGCAATACAGACCCTCAGAGGTTATTATGTTTTGTCCTTTATCTATTTTCTGCACACATCTCCCATCCCAACCAATTCCTCCAGCCATCTTTTTCTTTTTCTTAGTGATCCCTTCTCTATTCCAGCTGCCTTCTCCCCTTTGCTCATGAGGCAGGCTTCCAGCTATGGAGCAATCTTCCTGTCCCATGTATCTACTATCCCTAAGTATAAGCCTCATATTATGTTGTTTTATACTCCACAAATGAGTGCAGTTCTTCTATATCTGTCCCTCTCTTTCTGGCTCATTTCACTTAGCATGATACTCTCCATGTCTATCCATTTATAAGCAAAGTTCATGACTTCATCTCTCCTGAGAGTTGCATAGTATTCCATTGTGTAGATATACCAAAGTTTCTTTAAACAGTCATCTGTTCTAGGACACTTGGGTTTTTTTCAGATTTTGGCTATTGTGTACAGTGCTGCAATGAACATATAGGTACAGATGTCATTTCTACCAGATGTCATTTCATAGGTACAGATGTCATTTCTACAGATATCATTTCTACCAGATGTCATTTCTACCATTTTTTGCATCCTCGGGATATATTCTCAGAAGTTGTATTGCAGAGTCAGATAGAAGCTCAATTTCTAGTTTTTGAAGGACTGTCCATATTGTTTTCCAGAAAGGTGGACTAGTGGGCATTCCCACCAACAGTCAAAGAGTATCGCTTTTTACCCACATCCACAGAGATTGGCCAGTTTTCATCCTTGATCTGTGGGGGACGGGCATTGAGGCACACCGCCTGCAACCAAAGCTGAACCATTCTGGGCATCCTCCTCTCATCTCACTCAGGTACTTGCTCAGTGGCAGGGCTCCTTTCTCAGTCTACATATCTAACTAGATCCCCAGAGGGCGGCCGGTTTTCATCCTTGATCTGTGGGGATGGGAACTGAGGCACACCACGTGCAACCAAAGCTGAACCGTTTCGGGCACCCTCTGCTCATCTTACCCAGGTACCCACCTGGCGGCAGGGCTCCTTCCCAGAGCCACAGTCGCTAATGTGTCCGCATGTTATTCTCTCTCTACATATCCCAAAGGAACTTTAAGTTACCCTCTTAGATGAAACTTTCACTAGGTTAGCTTAACAACCAGAAACACATTAGCCAATAATTCGTTAAGCCTACCTTGATTAATACTGTATCATAAGCAGAACAGTCACAGTGAGCATGAAGGTCTAAACCACACAGGTCACAATGATAAAGCAACACAAAAGCCCACCAAGCTTACTTATTGAAGAGGCTAGCCCAGAAGACCCCAACAATAATGAAGTGCTAGACAACCTCTCTGACAAGGAATTTAGAAGGGAGCTACTGAGGATGCTCAGGGAGCTAAAGGAAACAATGGAAAGCAATGCCAATAAAGTACAAGAGGATTTGAAGGTAAAAATGAGGAAAATGCAAACAAATTTACAAACGGAAATGTCAGACCTGAAAAACCTGGTAGGCAAATTGAAAAACTCAGTGGAAGGCCTCCGCAGCAGACTAACAGCTGCCAAGGACAGAATCAGTGAGCTCACAGATGAAGTGCAGAGACTCTCTAGAAAAGAGCAGAAAATGGAAAAGAGACTCACAATCCAGGAACAGATGGCAAGAGGAGATCATGATGAAGCCAAGAGGAGTAACAAAAATTATTGGAGTCCCAGAGGGACAGGATAATAATAAATGTATATGCACCTAATGAGGGACCAGCAAAGTACTTAAAACAACTACTCATAGACTTGGAGAAAGACATTGATAGCAACACAACTAGTGGGAGACTACAACACCATTTTATCACCTCTTGATAGATCAATCAGACTCAAGGGACAGGAAGAAAACCCTGATGGAAAAGAAACTGTCAAAGACATCATTGCTACGACGTTCCCAGAGCTGAGGAAAACATGGGACCACATTCAGGAGTCCCAAAGTTTACCAGCTAGAAGAAATCCAAATAAAAAGACCCCAAGACACATCCTGATCAAAATGTCCAAAACCTTCGATAGAGAAAAAATTCTGAAAGCAGAAAGATCAAAGAAAGAAATTCTCTATAAAGGAGCATCCTTAAGATTCACAGCCAATATTTCTGATGAAACCCTCATGACCCGAAAACAGTGGTGGGATATAGTGAAAAAACTCAATGAAATAAATGCCTCACCAAAAATACTTTTCCCAGCGAGACTTTCATTCATAACAGGAGGAACAATATACAGTTTCACAGACAAAAAACAGCGCAGGAACTTCATAGACTCAAAATCATGGCTACAAGAACAACTAACTGGGCTACTTTAAGACAAGATAGCCCCCTCAAATACACCAAATTTCAACAGAAAAATGGAACAAAACCCCATAACAATAATCTCTCTCAACACCAATGAGCTAAACGCACCAATTAAAAGACACAGAGTGGCAGGATGGATTAGAAAATTGAACCCAACATTCTTCTGCCTACAAGAAACACATATCAATAGTCAGAGCAAATATAGGATCAAAGTTAAAGGCTGGAAAACAATCCTACAGGCAAATAACTTCCATAAAAATGCTGGGATAGCCATCCTATTTATCAGACCACATCGATTTCAGACTGAAGAAGGTCACAAGAGACAGTGAAGGCCATTGCTTATTGATCAAGGGATCTGTACAACAGGAAGAACTTACAATAATAAATGTATATGCACCTAATGAGGGACCAGCAAAGTACTTAAAGCAACTACTCATAGACTTGGAGAAAGACATTGATAGCAACACAACTAGTGGGAGACTACAACACCATTTTATCACCTCTTGATAGAACAATCAGACTCAAGTTTAGCAAGGGCATACTTCATCTGAGGAAAAAAATGGAAGAAAGGGACTTAGTAGATATATACAGGACACTTCATTCTAAAAAAACTGAATACACATTCTTCTCAAGTGTGCATGTAACATTCTCCAAGATAGACCACATGCTGAGCCACAAAACATTCCTCCATAAAATTAAGAAGATAGAGATTGTATCAACAATATTCTCAGACCACAATACGCTGATATTAGAAGTAAATCACACACACACACACACACACACACACACACACACAGAAAACTAAACACCTGGAATTTAAACAGTTCACTATTGGACAACAACTGGCTTAGAAAGAAATAAAGAGGAAATCAAAAGATTCCTGGAAACAACAAAAATGAGGATAGGAGATACCAAAACTTATGGGACACAGCAAAAGCTGTGTTAAGGGAAAATTTTATAGCTCTACAAGCATTCCTCAGGAAGGAAGAGTGAGCCCACATAAGTCACCTAACCTCACAGCTTGGACAATGATCAACAAAAGTATTCCAATCCGAACAGGAGGAAGGAAATAATAAAACGTAGAGCAGAAATTTACTTGATCACTTGACATCCCATTACTCGTTGATTTTCTCGAGCAGGTGCAGTAACGTCTCCATTCGTCCCTGTCACGTGCTAGTGTGTCAAAATAGCATCTGTTCACTCAAGGAACACTAAGAGCCTCAAAATGATTGCTCAGTGTTTTGATGAAGAAGTCTGACTATCTCGTAGGTGGGCGGCCACAGGACCTTTTGATGTCCCGTGGAATA